CGAACAGTGGAGTTAACGCTCCTCCCTCTCTTTTAGGCTTCTTCATCAGACCTTTTTACAAGATGATGCTGGGGAAACCAATAACTCTGAAAGACATGGAGTCAGTGGTAAGATAACATTTAAGCTGTATCAGCATTAGCAATTACGTGTTTTTTTCCTCTGGGGAAATTTATAAGAGCTGACAATTCCAGTAAACTGCATGGTGGAAAACATAAGGTCATAGTTGCAATAACTTTAGAAACATATGTATGTACTTTTTTAATAAAACAAATTTTCCCTGCTAGGACAGCTGTTTTAGTACCAGTGCACTAACAGCGATGAGAGGGAGAAGGGAAGAGAGACATGAGTAAGCCAGTAAGAAACGCAACATAAGATGTCTAATTATAGTTTCAGATTTTCCACTGCATCAGCTTTCTCCTGTTACAAGGAGTGCCACCAACAAGCCCTACAGCTTTCTTGTCATGCTGTGGAGCAGGAAGAGGGGAATCCAAGGGCTTAGTTCTGACCTGGAAACATGGGGCGTGGCCCACAGTGCTGGAAGGAGAAAGGGTTGTCAAATGATAGACAGTTCTGTCCAAAATATACTTAATGAATGCAGCACAACTTATGCCCTTATATCCGTTTTGGTTTTGTTCCCCGCACCTCTACTTTGACATCTTCAACGTTAATTGCAATCAAGTACTTTTGCGTTTGGCACTCCTTGGGAGAAAAACAAATTGTTTTACAAGTTAGTAATCTCTAACTTTGTATTGTAAAATGAAGGACAACATTAAATAGGATCCCGCAGATGCCCATTCTAGATGTGTAGTGTACCAGTAGTGAAACATAGTACGTTTCAGATACGTACAATAGCTAAATACAAATGGTTTCCATTAAGTTAGCAGGATGATATTTGGTTTTGTCTTTTTAACCTTTTAAGGTCTGTTCAGTTTTTCCACTGCTATGGACTTTGGAGAACCTTGGAGCTGTTACTTTTCCCCTTTCTAACGTCTTCCTCTGTCACCCATTATACAGAATAGTTTATCTGGATAAGACTGCTCCAGGTTGCCTTTGTAGGACTTGGTTGTGAGCCTGGCTACTCACATCCTGCACTTTCCTGAGACTGTCTTCAACAGCAACGTCAGTTGACTCGCAAGCCCAGCACAGAGGCAAAATTACAGAAGATGAGATGGCTTGAGCTCAAGTACAAGCTTAAACCCGAGCTCATGAGATGCATACCCAGAAGGTTCTTAAAAGGAAGTTCAGGCTCTTGTATTCCTACAAGTAGTTGGGAAACCTTTTCCTCTTGTTCTTAGCTCTGCAATAGCTGTTCTTGGTCTTGTCAACAGTATACTCAGTATGAGAAGAAAAAACGCAGTTTATTCTTTCTGATGTTTTAGAGTTTTACAGACTTTCAGTTACTGACACAAATGCTGGTTCAACTGCTTAATCTCTCCTCTAGCTCCCACTATCTCATAGTCACCAAATTTTGGCAGGTCATTCTTCTCTTGAAGCATACATGAGTAAATAATGTTTTAACTTTATTTTGAAATCAATGTTTTTGGCTCTCTTGCTTGGAAATATTTAGTGATAGCTATACAGACTTTTTTTCTTCTTTTTTTCTTGGGTCAGTCTTTAATTATGAACCTAGTACATGATGAAGATACAACCCTTTCAGGAAATTAGAGGGGTCTTTTATTCAGCAAACTTCAAGGCTTTTAATAATAACAATGCAATCAGTTATTGTATAATATATTATCGATGTAATGAAGTGGTATATAAATTGTGTTGAAAAGAATGTACAGTTTTATCAAGAAGACATTTTCTAACCAATTATTTCTCAGCGCTATATACATATTTATCAAATAGATATGTAGAGTCAATTTATTGTGTTGTATAATAATGCAATTACAAGTCAATTAAGAAAAGTTACATGAATCTAAAAACATAGCATCTAAGAAAAATGCATATGAATAAAGTAATCCACCTTACCCTGCTTTACAGTAGCTGTGCAAATAAATGAGTTCTGATCTTTCCAGTCCCTTTGGAGTTCTAGTTTTAGATGTTTTTATTTGTTCAATTTGAAGTTAAACTCTACATTTCATGTTCACATTTTCAAACTTTGTTTAATTATAATCCGCTGCAGGATAGCGAATACTACAACTCTTTGAAGTGGATCCTAGAAAATGACCCTACAGAGCTGGATCTCATGTTTTGCATAGATGAGGAAAACTTCGGACAGGTATGTAAATGTTATCCCAAAAGTCCATATTTCCATCTTGTTATTGGTTATTGCCAAAAAGTATTTAAATACTGAGCACTGTCTCATGTGCACAGTCCTGAACTTGATCAGGACTGTTGAATGTTAATGATCAGTATAGGCAGGCTACGTATATTAACTTCTCTTTGTTCCTGAACTGGCTAAGACCGGGGATGCCAAAGAAGGAAATGATGTTCTTGTCAGTGAGCAATATGACATCTTTGTGAAAAGCAGTACTTGAAGCTGAGTAAAATACTTGCAAAGAGGAGTAATAAAGGTGTTACACAGTCCACCATAGAAAATAGTCTCAGCGTGGGACTGTTTGGGGTTTTATAGGTTGAAGATGTTCTCAAAGGACAAAGGTAGAATTATAATCAGTGAAGTGCTTTGTTTATAGTGTCTTTTATATAATGCAAGCAGATGATACAACAAAAGCAAGCATGCCTATTTAAAAAAGGGTCACAATCTGTGGATAACTTTCCCCGTTACAAATGAAAAATGTTAGATACATGTTTAACAATTGAGAAGTGAGTAGGTGGGAATATCATTCATTAGCCACTAAGTCATAACTCATTTTGTCAGAAGAAGCTGTAAGAACAGCTTATGGTACAGCTTGTCTTGGATTTACAGTCCAGAGAATCCTATTAAAACAAACTTCAGAGATCTGTATCAGTTTCTGGGTGGAAATAACTTGGGTACAGATAAATGTCTTGTATATAAGTATATGTGTTACATTTAATTTGAGGACTTAAAGGCAAATAAATCATGAGTTTACTTACATGAGCTTGGAACTTACTTGCCTACCATGATTGGGGTTTTTTTTGATTTATTTACAAGCTGTGGAACTGAACCATTTTCTAATGCATGCACACAAGTAAGGACTAAAACATACTGATTTCGAACAATATTGGGACTTAATAATACCTACCTGTGTCTCTTAAATTAATTTCCTTATAGGCTTTTATGCCCTTTTTTAGTGTCTTCACTTCATTGAACTCTTAGACCTAGATATCTTGGCTCCAGGCACCACTGGTATTGTGGGACACACTGCCTTTTTTAAAAGCTGATTTCAAAATTTCAAAACATATGCACACAATGTACTGTCAAGAACATTCTGATCCACTTCTTAGTGCTTATTACTTCTTTCCTAAAGCAACATAAGTTTATCAGTTACATGGAAAATTAGGGAGAACATTAAAGCCACAGGATGAAAAGTTTTTGTAATACACTGGGTTGTTTATTGGTAATTTTCATTCTCTTCTGTTCTGTAACGACTTAGCTTCAAATTATTGATAGCCTTTCACTGCCAACTTACAATTCTGCTGGCAGAAGTTTGTTCTCTGACTCAAAACATGAATCAACTTACTTGGAGATACTTTCTGTTCTTCTCCTAACTCTTTCATACCTCAAATAGCTAATTCTGGCATTGTCAGCAAGATTGATTTCTGTTTAATTTGATTAATCTTTTAGATGCCATTCTTCAGCAGGTCAGCACTGTATAGGCAAGAAGCAGATCACTGCTAAAGTGTGGCACATAATTAAAAAAAGTTGCAGACTGTCTGGGAGTGTTTATGCTCTCGGGGAAACTTTACAAACTGGTGTTAGAAATAGCTGCAGCTTGAGGCTCACTGGTTCATTTCTTAGTTTACCTTTTTATTAAATCACTCCCTGTGTTGTTTCTGTATATCATGGGTACAAAGTAATGAATGGCATTTATGATTTCTTTTGTCTTGAACATAACATTTTATCATGTTCTTACAGTATGTGTGGGGGGTTTTGGGAAGTTCTCTTGATATAATTGTACGAGTACATGAGGCAGCTTTATCCTCTTTAAAGAAAATATATGGGGGGGAGTGGAATAAAGACATCAAAAATATCTGTCTTGCTGTTCTTGAAATTTCTACTCATCTTCTTACCCCCAGAGTTTTTCTTCATAATATGGCAGGTATTTACAGTTTTAGAGATTTACGTCTTTATTGATGTAGGAATCCACAGGATGATGCTGCAGCCATGCAGGTGTTATGGTTCTGCTCTCCGAGTATGCCTTAGCTCAAGTTGGAGGGACCCCTAATGAGTAACCAGCTTCATGTGCTCATTTAGTGCCCAGTTTATTAACAGAAATAACAGTTCTTGTTCTAATTATCGTAATGCAAATTCCAGGTGTTGAGCTGATATCACAGTCTTCCTGTATCTCAGAGGGAAAAGGCAGTTTTGGCTAGCTCTACAGCAGTAGCGATGAATGAATTTGAAGTTCTCTTGGCTAACTTCTGTTTCAACTTAGATTTAAGCTCACCGAGTTACAGACAAATGCCAGTAGTAGTAGATACAATAATATTGTTTCCATCATACTGCTGGTGAGATGCAAAATTGGCAGGACAGATTTTATCGAAGAAAAGCCTGAATAAGCTCAGTAGTACAAGGACAGGATATGCTATAGTGAGGAGGAATTTATCTAGCTAGAGATTGAAACATCTTACCAGTCCAAACGCGTAGAGGATGCTTTCCAGCAATGCAGCAGTTACGGCAAATACTGACTACATTGGCTTTTTCTGCATGTACCACTGGCCATTGCCAGCACTGTGGGGACTACTAGAAGTCAAGGGACCCTAACTCACTTTGGCACTTGTTTCGCCTCATCTACTGCTGAACTGCTGAAACTTTATGATAAAGTGCCCTTGGGAACATGTGTAGGAGATGATACTGCTTCCACAAGGACATTGTGTACGTTAGAGGGCAATGTTTGCATTGCTATAAGCCTCTATATTTATTTATTCTTCATTTACCACCAAAACCTTTTCTGGAGTTTAGAGGAAAACAAGCAACCTCTAATAAATCTTATCTTCTTCTTACCCTTCCTTACTTAATAATCAAAAATAGTGTTTCGGTAGTTCTCACACGTCAGTAAGAAATACAAAGTAGGTATTTTCAACGTGTAAAGGATGGAGAGCTACCTTCAAAAAGCAGAGAAAGAGAAAGGTCTGTATTCCTCTGAAGTTCTTAACGGCTCTGGAATACTATTTCCCATTTCTTAAAACCACTGTATCTTCTGGTGGGCAGGAAGAAACAAGCACCAAAAAGCCTTCTGTTTGTGCCATCGTGTCTGTGATCTTCATAACTTTATCCTATTCAACTTTGACAGTATAGCAGACCTTCTCCTTATTAGTTCTGGACTGTCTTCCCTGGTCTTTATGGAACGAACAAACTACTGTTTCAGAGGTTTGTAGGTTCCCTATTAATTACTTCTCCTTAATAGTACAGTCATCTTTTTTTCCCAAATCAGTAATAGGTATATTTATTCAAACAGACCTATTGTACTGTTTTTCTCCTTCTTGAGGCATTCAGTGTTAATCCAGTCCTGAAAAGAGCTTTCCAGCCTTCTCCTTTTACAGCTCCATTTATTAGCTAATGAATTTACTGTCTTACTGTTACTCAACCACAACACCTGATCTAATTATTAAAGATTAGTAACAGCTTTAAAAATAGGCTTGGTTGAATGTGGGTGCAGAGAGTCACGTCTTGGTTGCTTCCACTGGAACCATGGTTTTGAAGTGATGGAACAAGTTGACTGGAACAGAGTGACGACTTACAAGCAACAAAGTACTTGACTTTCCTTCTCTCCTACCCCAAGCACGCATGCTTTACAATAAATTAATCCAGTCTTGTGCCTATGCTGTATGTAAACACCAGGATCTGCAGTCAGAAAAACGCTTCTTCAGAGCTGCAGCTATGGGGCATACGGTGTGGTAACAATTTTGTGTGGGCACTAACTGATAAAAGCTACCAACTTCTAGCTTTCCTGGTACCTACCCAGCATTAATTCTGTGAATTCCTACTCATAAATCACTTTCTTCAGAAATAAATACATTATTTGGACTTGCTGTAGTTCCTTGTGAACTGTAATGAATTTGGTTTTATCAATCTTACACTCCACGGTGACACCACCCTTAGCAAATCTGTGCTTAACCATTTCTGTAATCTGATTTTCTACTTTTCGGCTTTTTTATGAAACAGTTTCTCTGCGGATTTTAAGTAATCCTTTTTTTGCAAGCATTTTGAAAAATTAGAATGCATTTCTCTACCCTTATTAAAATGGAATATATGTTTTCTTTACCCAAATGAACCTGCTGTTCAGGACTAAAAGTTTGCTTTTGAATGGTTTGCTCACTTGCTAATGACAAGAATTCATTCTTACAAGTGATCATATAATAATTTATTCCTAATGATGCCATCTTTAAATGTGGAATGCTTTGATGTCTCATTAGCTATTATGGCATAATAATTTTCTGATACTACTTGTAAAATGCTGCTCAAGGAGAGTGGATTTTGTGAGAAATGTGTCCTGAAATAATGTCATGTTGTGTTTTGTTTTTTTTCTTTTGACATACAGACATATCAAGTCGACCTGAAGCCAAATGGGTCAGAAATCATGGTAACAAATGAAAACAAAAGGGAATATATTGAGTATGTATACATTTATGGAATTTATCCCGAGTGTAAGAAAGCACAGTTGCACTTGTCTTGGAATTGCCCTACTGCAATTACTGTCGTTTGTACTACAATAGATCATTAGAGATCCTTTTAAAAGAAAATCTTATTGTTAACATAGTTTGTTTATACCCTAATCCTTAGAAAGTTTGAATTTTAACCTTTACTGTTCTATGAATTACACTTATCAGGGGAGTCCGTGATGTAATAGGAAACTATTTTCTTGATGGGTAGGGCATGAGGAACATTCAAGAAGGGATGGGATTGCTCTGAATGACAGACATCTGCATCTAAATTACTCAGTGAAAAGAAATGGCACCTCTTGGATGCAATACTTGTCGTGTTAAAGTAGACATACGACTTTTGCCCAGTTTCATGCCTGCTTCTGTCTGTTGCCTAAGTGCCTAGGGTAACTAGCTGTGCTCTGTAGATCTCCAAAGTAGTGATGAATTTCCACCCTAGGATTTCCAGTTTTTCCTGATGAACTGCTAGGTCGCAGAACACAAATCAAGAGTGAGTGCAGATCCGAGCGCTAAACTGGATCCAGAAAAAAGAATGAAAATAGGATGTCTGTATAATTTATCAAGTTTGTATTTGCTTGCCATTGTGGTCTTCATTCAAGGAAGAACTGAGGAACTCTGTAAACATCTAAGCGTTCCTCTAAGAGGAGAACTTTGTGCTTGTTTGTTAATCTCATTTGCAATGTTGTGTTACAGTCGTTTGGCTGTAATGGTGGAACAATACAAAATTTCTGCTTTTATGATTTTTTTTGTTACTTAGTGTGTGACTTTGCACTGTCAGCTCTTTAATTTTTTAGGTATATCTTTTTTTTTCCAGTTTTCAGATACAAAATATTAGACATCATAAACTTTTTTTTATCTCCATCACCTCAATACAGTGCAGAAATGAAAAGCTCTTTGAAAATGTGTGGGCCAAAATTCAGAACTGAGTTAGGTTTATATCTAGGTAATTCTTTCATGGCTAGTCACAGTATTTTTATAACTTTAGCGTCAATACTTGTGTGCTCTGATTTGGAAATGATGAATGCAACTTAAAATTTTTCAAATATTTTCCCCCAGAATTCCATTATGATAGAACTATTCTAGTTGTTATACTTAAAAACAAACCACAAAAAAACCCCACCCCAACCAAACCACCAAATTGCAAGTGGAGTCACAAATGTAATTTTATTTTTGCCTCTGTGTCTTAACATAACACCCAAGTGATGCTTTCTCATGCATATGCAGTGCTTATGGGATACCACGTAGATAATGAAGAATCATTGCCTAATAGAAAATCTGGTGTTTTGTTTGCATTATTTTATTATGTAATGCTTATTGCAGAAATGAAGGAAAATAGATAAACTGGCTAAATAGCTGCTAATTAAAAATCGATGTTATTTCTTTAAGCATTATGAGAAAATCACACTAGGAATTTTCTAGTAACCGTCAGATGAACAGTATCTAATGCTGTGATGCCTTCTTTGAAAATTCAGTTTACGTACCATTGGCCAATATAAGAACAAAAATAGAGTAAATTAACTGCTTGGTTTTCCCAAAATCCCCACATAGGAAACGTGCTTCTCCAAAGTGTGGCTCAAAGCACCTAAGTTAAAATGAGCCAGAAAGTGCTCTCCAGCGTGGCCATCACCCTGTTACCCTTCTCCGCTAGCTACGCAGACCAGATCTATGATGTCAGTACCAGCGTTGCTATCAAAAATTGGCCAAACCTAAACTGGCTGTTTGGGTTTAAGCTTCCTCTGGTTCTCTGCCTACCAGAGTGTAAAATAATAAATTCAGCTAAACTTGCTGCATTTTTAATCAGTGCCTCTTCAAAGGGGAGAAAGCCTTGTAATTGCTATATTCATGCAAATTAGGAATGAAACGTGCTTCAGTAGGAAAGGAATTGGATTTCTAAAGCATTATTCTAGAACCTGTGAGGTATTTATGCTGTAGGTGGTTAGCACTGAAATACAAGCCTTTTCCTTTGATATTGCGGTTTTTATTAATCTGTTTATTTATTTATAGGCAGGTTGTTATATGTAATTACATCTCTCCTCAAATTTTGTAGACTTCATTGGGAATTGTTAATTACTCAGAGCTCTGGAAGAATAAAACGTCTAGTCATTTAGGTACCTAATACTAACAGTAAATACATCACCCGGAGTCTAGATTCCAGCCTCGTTTAGAAAGAAAGAAACCATAGTAAAGAATTCGTAGGCTGTTTCAATCCACAGGCAAGCCTTTTTGTCGTGTTCATCCTTGAGTTAATCTCCATAGGAACGAAACGGTGAATGTCACGTCGTCTGATAGCGTTACCTTGAAAAGTTCTTGGTGATGTAGAAAAGTCATAGCTATAAAACATGGAAGTGTATGTGTAGAGTTTGTGTCGCATGCTAAAATGAAAATATTAATACTATAACTTGTTCATAGTCACTGATTTTTTTCAACATTTCGATCAGTCACCCAAGATAAATTTGAACAATTAACAAAAAGCTGCTCGGTTTCCTTCATATCAGAGTGTGGTTGAGAGATGGCCGAAGTTGTGAATGAGAAACTGAAACTATTGGGGTTGCTAAAATCTCTAAACACTTAGTTTGCAGTTTTCTAATGAGTGTGCTTACGTCTTTCTGTTTATCTACTATAGCCTGGTCATCCAATGGAGGTTTGTAAACAGAGTTCAAAAACAAATGAATGCTTTTTTGGAGGTAAGGTTCTTCAGCTGCTTTTTTTTCCCCCAAATAATTTTTTTTTTTAATGCAGACAGTTCTTATAAATCGGTGTCTGCGTTAAGGGAGCGGGGAGCTTTGCGTAACTGCACAAGTTCTGGAATGCTTGTGTTTTATGATTTCAGTTTTACCTCGTCTAAGAATATATAATCTTTCCCTTCTGAGAATAAGGCCATTCTCTTTCAAGCTTAAATTATTTGAGCTTGAAATAATTTAGTGATTAATTTTTTAAGTTATGGACTCATATTTCAACAACTGTGTGTTTCATTTTCTAAACCCTTCTTCGTCCTCTGTTGTTTACTTAGGTTCCTGGAAGCCAAAGATCCTGTTAGATAAAGTTAATTTTACGTGGTATGAGAATTTTAACTTTGCTTTGCTTTCCTTTAGGGATTCACAGAACTTCTTCCTATTGATCTGATTAAAATTTTTGATGAAAATGAACTAGAGGTGAGTTTGTTTAACTGATATCCAGAGACAACAGATCAGTAATGCTCATCACAAAAGGATGCGTTATGTTCTAGGCTCATCATTCATTACTTACTCATCGTAAGTGACTTTGCAGACAAAGATGTTTTGCTTATAGTGGGAAATGAGATTTTTCTCCCTAATTAATAAATCTATTGATCACATAAAAGCACAAAAAATTGTAATTATTCAGTGAGGTGGTTGAGTATGTGCATATAAAAGCACGTACGTAGCTTACTGAATTAATGCCATTGTGCCTATGCCAGTTGTATTTTGAGCAACATACCATAAAAGATGCTGTCACACAAAGCATACGTATGTTAGTGTGCAGTGTTTCTCCAGTAAAATGAAATATTCTATGAGAATTCTCCTGAAGAGAAGCTCAGCTCTCCTTTACGCTTGCATTTATATTTGCACTGCTTAGCTGTTCAAAAGGTCAGACAACAGAGGGAAAATGTAACCTTGTTTTTCTGATAAAGTGTACAGGATAACACAATACCATTTTCAATTAACACTGTAACAATTTACTTCCATTTGTAGTTACTGATGTGTGGCCTTGGCGATGTTGATGTTAATGACTGGAGACAACACACAATCTACAAAAATGGCTACTGCCCAAATCATCCCGTTATCCAGTGGTTCTGGAAGGTAATATCGTTTACCGCGTTTGGCTTCTCTGACTGTTCCTAAAAGTGAAAGCTCCTGTATTGTTTTGCGGAGTCTGTTATGAAATCTTTTTCTTCATGAAAACTGCTGAAGATTACATCTGTGTATGTTGGAAATGACAGCTGTGGTACTCATTAGAGACTCTACTAGAAATAGACCCAAGACAGGAGGTCCAGATCTTTGGATCTATCTAAAGTGTCTAGCAGTATTTGTCAAGTAAAATACTTTCATGAAAAGTATGTGTCCCCAGAAAAGCTACTAAAACACTTCTTCCCACAATAGTCGTAGATTTTTCAAAGGGGTGTCTTTTTCTTAAAAATAGCGGAATCTTACAGCTTCGTGTAACTTTGTTTCTGGGTTTCGTATAGCATTTTCATGACCATAGGTGGTATACACGAAGACTATGTACTTGTATCAGTCCAGATGGTGACCTGGTCCCAAAGGGCTTGACTCCGAGGTCCTGCTGTAGTGCAACACTGGTCTGATTTCCTGTGAACCTTTGCAGTCTCTCTGTCTGATCTTCGAGGCTTCTCTGTCATCTCTCTTTCTCTACTCCCCCTCTCGGGCATATTTTCAATTGCAGTGCACCCGTTGTGCCCCATACCTCCGGGCAGGTAGGGGCTGCCCGTCATACCGAATGACAGGCCACCTCATGCAGGTGAATAGCACTTGTAGCTCCCAGTTGCCGCCAGAGCAAAGTCTCGTTGTTGTGGCCCAGTGGCAGCTGGAAAAGGATGCTCTGTATTTAATCAGAGAAGACCTGGTATGTGACCTGTATCACACCTTTCAGTTACGTGTCTATTACAGTCTAATAGAGATAATTTACTCAGGTTTTGTTTTGGTTTTTGACAATGATCTCTACAGCTGTGAAAGTGAAAAGACCGTGACTGTGTGTGTTTGTCAACAGGCCGTTTTACTGATGGATGCCGAAAAGCGGATTCGATTACTGCAGTTTGTTACTGGGACGTCACGTGTGCCTATGAATGGATTCGCTGAACTTTATGGTGAGCTTCCGTTCAGCTGCCCGCAGATTATGCTCACCTCTCGAATGGCTGTACAGACCGCTCCTGAACATGAATGAGAGAACCTGGGCACGACTGAAATTCAGTCATAGCCAACCTTTGACCCCCACGTAGGAATTCTCCTTCTGGATGCCAAGAGCACTGGCACATCGAGAGGGAGTGAAGTTCTGTACACCACGGGGTGTTACGTAGATGCTCCCCTAGCTCCCACAGGAAAAATGTCGGCTGTCAACGGGAGTAATATTCATGTCATCTGAAGAAGAGGAGAATGCATGTTTAACCAAGCACTTTAATTTTTCAGTGTTAATGTCTGAGCTTACTTCTTTTGCATTATACATACTCTACGCAAAGGCAGCTAGATAAACTTAACAAACTAACTGGACTTGGAAATAAACAAACACATTCCTATTTCCTTTAATGTAGTTTTAAGAAAGAGAGTTTCTACCAGGTATTTTGTACCAGTTGAAATATCTAGCCTCCAATGCAAACATTTAATTTTTAAAATAATATTTAGGGTAGTCTCTGTAGTGTCCAGCAATTTATATTTCATATGATTTTCATTTTCAACCAGGTTCAAATGGTCCTCAGCTGTTTACAATAGAGCAATGGGGAAGTCCTGATAAACTGCCCAGAGCTCACACATGGTAAGTCACGGAAGCATAAAATTGTATAGCTTTTCTGTATTGTTATACTGCCAAGAAAGGGGGAAACTGATGACTCTGCTTATCTCTAACATATTTTAGCTCTGGATCGTACAGCTTTTTATAAACTGGGATACTCTGAAACCTACACACGTGTTTCTGTGTATGTGTAGGTATGTATTTAAAAGGCAAAGAACAGTTAGCTTTTATCTGCTGACACCCAGCTGCAGAATGTAACATGCAAAATTCCAGGAGGTAGCAGGGCTCAACTTCAGCACTGTGCCGTTGCCTCTTCCTGTTTCTAAACAACGCTTGTTTTGCCTTCTCATGGACGTGTGAAAGGCTGTGTTAATAGAATAAGTAGGTGTAAGTGTTCTGCAATAAATGCAGGTAAATGAATCCAAAATAAACTCTTTCCACCATAGCCTTTCCGATAAAGCCTTTTTAATGCTATTTTATTGTATTCCAAGTAACCCTTTCAACTCAGGACTTTTCTTCTAGTAACTGCTTGCATGTTAAAGAGAAGAGATAGCTTTTCCCCACTTTATTTTATACTACATTTGAAGAAATTGCTACCCACATATACCAAATGTTAACTATAATTTTTGAAGCCACATAGTAGCCTGCAAATTGCTTTAAGCACTGGCCAATTAAACTGACATTCGGACAAAATGGAAGTAATTTGAATCCCTTCTGCTAGAAGACTTTTCCCCGTATCAAATACATAAGAATCCGGTCATGTAAGGTACTTGCAACACGATCCAAATCGGAGCACGTGAAGCGCAGCACAGAGAGTGTACTGAAGGCTTAAATGTTGTGCTGAGTTTGGGAGTAGGATCCTCAGTGCCTGCTGGGGAAAGTCCCACAACCTTACAGATTGTCATCACGTCCGTCTCGCTGGCTGAGCACCCTTGTTCAGGTTGCAGTCCATTCCACCACAAACACCTAATGGCTTCCCAGTGCCTTTCACGTTAGGAAAACTTTATCATCCCCCCACAATTTCCCAGGAAATGACAACCAAACGTTACAGGTTAAGGGTACGTTGTCGCAGAGAAGTCCAATGACTCCTCAATGATACCGCAGAGTAGTAGCAAAGGCAGGATGGGAGCAGCTATCCATTTCGTGGTTCCTGTCAAAACTGGGATAGGGAAAAACAGCGAGAGGAATTACATCTTACACTACAGTAATTTTTCTATGAATGTTAAAACATAGGCTCTGTTCTCTTCTGTTCGGTCAGTCTGAAGGCTTTGAAAAATATAGGATAGGCAATAAACTGTCCAAGAGAGACTGTTAAAAGGGTAACAGGAGTTTAACAGGGCATGCTGGAAAGAAAAACAGTGCCTCACCGTGTAAGGCTAATAGTATTCACGGCCACCTTTTATATGTCTTGGAAATTTATCATCTCTTCCTCTTTCCTTCTGGAAAACTAAGAAATTGAAGGATATCCGAGTTGGAAAAGCGAGACTAGCACTTGTACAAATAGGGGTTGATGCTTTCCCCCCTGCCCCCCCTTCATGCTGTGATTCTACTTCAGGTATCACCACGCTGCAGGCAGCTTTTACCCTCACCGTCATTTTCCCTTCCTCCTTTTCCATGATTTTATTTTTTCCTCATCCTAATAAGTGGGTGTAATGAACTGCAGATGGTCTGATGTAACAAAACATAGCCACAGAAAGCTGTGCTACATAAAGGCCATAAATTGCTAGACAGTTCACTAAAACTGAAGTCATAGTCCAGCTGACTTAATTTAATCCCAATTAATAGAATTCGCAAATGTTGAAAGCATTCAATACAAGTCTTTGTCTTGCTCTGTTGCATATCAAGAATATGGCTTTTTTTTAAGGTAACTTAAAGTGTGCTGTATAGGAAAATTGATTTTTAGAACATTAGTCCAGAATGGTGATCTTTCCATAAAAATAATCATTCTATAGGATAAAAAGTTTTAATTAAAAAAAAAACCCACAACAACAAAGCCAAAAACACATTCCAAAGTAACCCATCCTCTTTATGTTTCAATTATCTGTTAGATTTTACAGGACCTTTTCAAGACCTTCTTTTGGATGTTTCTTCTTCTTTTCCCCCAGAGGGTAAACAGTCTGTCCTATAAATTCAGAACATCTTCGCTGAGGCTTAGGAAACCAGCCTTTTGACAGAGAGGAAATGTTTTCAATCAACTAAATGGGGGAGGTGGGGGGTGGTGTCTGTTGGGTTTTTTCCTTTCCTAAGTGGTTTTTAACAAGTTCCCGCTTTCAGCTCTGAAAAGAAAGGAGGCACGCAGTTATTTCTGTAAATAAACTCACTTTGGTACAGGCAGGGCTGGCTTCAGACGCTACCTCCAGGGAACACGAGCATTCGTGAGGTTTGCAAAGGACGCTGTGGAGATTGCCCCCATTGGACAGCAAGATATATCCTTTGTTAAGGCCCCCAAATTATTTAACATTTTCTATTTCTTTAAAATTATGTGTATTTTTCAATGGACTATTAAATGATTCTTTTCCTTCTAAATTTCAGCTTTAATCGCCTAGACTTACCTCTTTATGAATCTTTTGAAGATTTGCGAGAGAAGCTACTTATGGCAGTTGAAAATGCTCAAGGATTTGAAGGAGTGGATTAAAACATCGACTTTTTTCCCCCTTCAAGCAAGTTCTGCTTGCACTTTTGCATTTGCCTGATGGACTCTGAGTGATTACGGCAGAACAGTTGCACAGCGTTGCTTCATGGAGCAAACCCTTCGACAGCGCAGTTGCCCGAATCCAGAAGTTTGAACTGTGTAGTCTGTGGGTGGCTCTTCTGACGTTTCCACAGCAGATTACCGACTGCTT